GTACCTTTGGCCAACGTGACCTCCAAAGGGGCGGAAAGGCCGAAAAGTCGTCAAACGAAGAGGTACAGACAGGCCAAAGACGAAGATTAGAGGCAGTTGAGTAGGTTTGACATCTTCGTTGCTACCTTTCCGAGGTTGAGGAGAGGACAAGGGCTCTTTGGCATTAGTTGGTTCGAACTTGTCCTCGCAACTTGGACATGGTGAAACACCCGGTCCTGGGCCTTTTGTCATATTATTCACGACACTTTACAACATTGAGCCGTTGACTTTGTACATTTTCTGACGTTTCGTCATTTTGACGAGATGTTGTTCGCTACTCAGGCTGGCGTAGCCGACTACAATTTCTACTAAATCTATGAAAAGGCGCTCTGTCAACGGTCTGATGATGGAAGGGGACATGACAACAGATTGGCTTATCAGATTGTGAACACACAAAACTAAACTACCCCAATTCGCTCTTGGTTGGTCTGTTGAGTTGACGAGTTGCGGATGAATGGTTGAAAGTTTAGTGAAACCACGAAGGCAGAAAGTGCCAGACAATTTTAGGCTCGTCGGTTTCACACGTTTGGATGCTTAATGGATTAAAGATACAAAGGAAAGGCGAAAGAGCCAACTAACCATGGCCTATAATTGATTTGATCACGAAGTTGCAAGTTGATCGTGTTGCCAGAGCGACCTCGAAGAAAGTGCCCTCATAAAATAGAAGCGAGGACAACTTGCCCGCTTCAAACGGTGGATTTGGTACAGTCATAGACACTTCGCCGTCTTTGTGATCATCATCGTCAATAAAAAGCGCCATTCTTTGCAAATTGACGTCACCGAAAACCGAGTGAGGGGTACTCTGCACCGTCCCTCGATTCCAATGAACCTGTACTGAACTTTAGCCTCTCCGGCCATGACAAATAAGGTCCGAGAATCGGTGAGGTTTTCTGAATGAATTATTTTATATTAAAATTAATTTGGTTTTCGAGACTTTCACTAAATCGTGAATTAGAGCTCCGCTCACCCTAGGTGGCATGAGGTGATGAAAGTCTGATAAATGAATGATTAGGCTTCACATTTTCATTACATTTCCCTTAGCTTTGCCTTCCAGAGCGGACTACAGCAGTCCCAATATAACCTGAATCCCAGTAGTAAAGCATACAAGCTCAACATGTTACCACTACGCCACGTGGCACTTAATTACCGTAGGTTTTAGGGCCAGGCCTCTCCTAAATTATATATTTATAGTGGGATTGTCGATTAGGCAAACCTGTATTTTGCTACTAAAATTGACTACACTACTTATATTCAGCGATAGTAGGCTCTTTGGGAATAGTAGTAAATCTTGAATAATAGCTTTAGTTCTATAATTATGTTAATCTCTACCACACAATTCGAATGTCACATTTGTACGACAGTGTTTGTGTATGTGTTTGCGCGTGCGTGCACATGCGCGCTTTGGTTTCTGACCAGCCCATAGTGCATACTTCTTCCTACCAACTTTTGCCTGGAGATGAAAAAGCCACTGACATAAACTTAATTAAAAGACGCTTCAAAGATTTGTCAGTGGCCAGGGTGAAGAAAGGAGGCCCTAGGTCGTGTAATGTGATAAAGAGTTGATAGTTGAGCCTTCCCAAAAGGCAGTATCATGTGGTTCTCGGTTGGGCATACAGACGAGTCGCGTGTGATTAGTTATTCATTGAGCCGAATCTGAATCGAGCTGTTCCGTTTTTCCGTTCCTTCTCCTGCTAAACTGCCTCTCTTTTTCTACCCTCCTCCCACACACTTGTTCACTTTAGAAACGCCGTCTCACCGAGACACTGGTTGCTACGACAACGCCAGGCGCCTGTATGCAATTGTCCCACAGCTCCAGTCGCCTCGACGTGGCGTCAGGGCCCAGCTGCACAGCCGTTAGCCTCAGTTCGAGTGGATGGCCGAGAGTGGTGAAGCGCGAAGAGAGACGAATTTCACGACAAAGTGAGGCAGTGAGAGACGAAGATGGCTACAGAGAAGAGTTGGAGACGGAGGAGGACGACGAAGAGGAGCAGGAGGGAGACGAAGATGAGGAGGAGGAAGAAAGGGAGGTGGCAACGAAAGAGTTGAGCATCAAGTCAGATCGCAGAACGGGCAGACGATCACACGGCTCGAAGTCTACTCGGCTGCAGAGAACGCCAACTGGTCGGCTGGGACAACGGGAACTAGAAAATAGGCTGGCCTATTGTCTTGTTAGAGACCTTCTTGCGCCAGAGCTTGTGGACGGCGAGGGATTTAGGGTAAGTCAAGCAGTTCTGTCTCTCTTTCTAACATACACACACACACACACACACACACACATGCACACACTGTTGAGCTGTTTTGGTTTGCTACATCAGCT